AAAAGGTATGATCGAAACTGGAAAACGATAATCGAATCAATCGAAAGAATTCTTCGTCAACTAGAAGCTATCGGCGAAAATCTTGAACTCGAGTATTGAAATACCCATTAAAAACAAGTTAAGAGGATGGATATTAGACAAAATATTTCAACAAAAGGATGATGACGAGATCTAGTCAGTAACAAAACTTTGACATTATCTCGGAAAATTAGTAAAGAAACGACCAAGTAACCAGAAATCAAGCCACCAAACACCAACGGTGAATGACAATTAACTAAATTCAAATCCAAACGTTGGTAACAAAGAAATCAAGGAGAAACTTCTGCATTGGCAACAATCAACCTAGTTTAGATAAATTTAAAGTTATTTCAAATTCGTCCATAAAAAAGGGGTAGGCGAAAATTATAACAGAAGAGAAAACTTGTTCGTTTTGTAACAAAGATCATTGGGATAGTGATTGTGAAATATTCTACTTTAAAACAAAGATTAGAACGTTTAATTAAGATCAAAGCCTATCGAAAATACTTCAAAGGGGAATACAGAGGCCAATTGACTTTTTTATATTTATTTTGAGTGCATCAAAATATATATTGAAAATTTTTTTACGAAATTAACGAGTTATCATCATATAACAACAAGAACATCACGCAATATGCATATGCAATATGCGTTAGCTATTATCTATTATAAATATATCATCATCGTCATTACCATCAACGTACGTTCCCCTACAATATTCAACTAAAGACTGGGTAATGGACACCGTTTGTCATTCAAAAGGTATCCAAATCAATCCAGAGCATCGTATCTTGAATACGCTGATGAAGTCCTTTTTTCTATTCCTTTTTACAGTTATGACGAAATGCAAGTATTACTAAATAATTTGTCAGGAATTGCAGCGGGCTCAGGGTCAATATAAAAACGAAAGCCTTTTCGTCTTATATGCAAGAAGCTGGTAAAATGCCTCTTTTTATTAATTCACTACCGGTCGAGGAAGTGCCCGATTTTAAATACTTTGGGTCCACTCTAATACCAAATGGCCAGACAAAAGATGGTGTTACAACCCGGATCACAGCAGCTAGAAATGCGTTCTTCCAGTTGATGAAACCTTTATGGAGCTGGCATAAAATCACCATAAAAACGAAAGTCCGCTATATAACCATGATTTATATCTATATATTAAATCGATATAGCCGTGATTCGTTCGATCTTGCTATATGGCTCTGAGACATGGCCAGTGAGAGTGGAGGGTGAAATTTCTGCCTTTGATATTATCTACCACTTTTGTCTAAGGTACATATTACGGATCTGTCGAGCGGATAAGATAATCGCATCCATCTTCATTCAAATACCAATTGTATAAATAATATTATCACAGAGCGTCACCTTCGCTGGTTAGGGTACACTCTCTGTCGTCCACCACAAGAGTCGTCGCATATTTCATTACTCATGTGATGGATGGCGTCAAAAGTGAGGTGGGCCAATCAAGAACTGGGCTACGGTCAGGAAAGATTTTGAACGTATAGGTAGACCAGTAATATATGGACTTTGATGATGGAAAAAGAAATGCCTTCTATTACTGTCAACAATGGCATCAGACCATGCCGCTTGCAAGTGTCTTAAGCCACAGGAACCAGCTCAACCAGTAATGGTGGGAGCTGTTAGAAGATAAAAATTCTAAAGGCTTTCACTGAGAAGTCAGTGGATTAGTGGGAACAGTACTTGAAGTTAACTTAAAACAGCTTGCACAGGTGGGATGTGTGGCATAAGTGATGAAGCACTGTTCCAACTACAGTTCTGCATATGTCTAAATTTCAGATAATCACAAGAAGTGGATACCGATTCAAGTTCAAGAGAAAACACCAATCATCTTCTCTGCATGGATGACATCAAGTTATATATGCTAATAGTGAACGAGACATTGACTCGTTTATTCATCTAACACAACGAGACATTGGGATGAAGAAGTGGAGCTAGACGATAATGAAGAAAGAGAAAATTCCTCGATAGTTAAAATTGATCGGATAGATCAGTAAAGGCTACTGAGGTAGATATACAGACTAGATATTCTCTGGGTAATCCCCCAAAAAGGATGATAAAACAACTACTGAAGAATGAACCCACTGGATATCTCTTGGAAAATTTTCGTTTTCATTCCGTTGAACAGATTTCTGGCATTTCCTAGATGCTAGGATGCTCCATAATCAAGCTGAATTCGGGTAGTTGTGCGTAGAACTCTTAGAAGGATAATCTACATTGGGTAGTCTAAATTCAGCCTATATTTCCACCCTATCAGTCTCGCAATGAAAATGAACTTTGCTGATTTTCTTCGCTAAAAAATCAATCGAAGTTAGTCGTGCCAAGACTGAAGTTCTTACCCTATTTTTCGACTATTTTCTTATACTGCGCAAAACCCTCAAGCTCCCCTGTCTCCGGTTGAGAACGTCTAAGGTTGAGGATGGCCCGCACCATTTACTGAGAAAAGCATTTTTATACAAGTGTCGTGATAGTAAACAAGAACTAAAATCAGCATTGGTGATAGATATAACATCATTAGGAAGCTAGAGAAATAGAGAGATTGAAAAAAATAATAGACATGTGGAAAGCGAAGGCCAAAATAATCCTAGTGCCCTAAATTAGAAAAATGGCTTCAGCAGATTCCTTCGTCTAGAAGAATGCACCGTTAGGAATAGCTAAGATATTGTGCAGAATCCTCAGCTTCCAGATCTCTAGTAGAGGACCTGAGGAAGATGGATGACTCGTACCATCTACAGAGGTGAGAATTAGTTCTTATTCTTCTAGTAGCACCCATCACTTCTGGTTTCACCAGCGATCACAATGATCGCTTTTTTTAACGTATTGATGAATCCTCAGAACCACTTAGATTCCCATTTCTCACGGAATGTTTGTTTCTGTCGTCGACTTATGGCGCTCTGCTATTAGCGCTGAAGCAGCGAATAGCCTAATTCTCTTCAAAAAGTTTATGAAATTGGTTGTTAATAAACGACCTCATTAGGTAATATTTTTTACTGCGTGCAACTTTTTTGATGCACAATTTCGCCGTTTTTCGCCGTTTTATGTATTTTTCGTTTGATTTTTGCCATTCAAGCATCCTAATTAAGGAATTTAAGCTATGAATTCGGTGACTGCTTAAGACCCGCAATCAGTTATTTTGTGCTCACTTATCGTATTCGTTTATTTAATTAACCGCTCTCTTAAAAACTGATGACCTCTGACCTAGTGAACTTTACGAAGAAAACAACGATTGTGCCTTAAATTAATGGAAAGAGTTTGCCATTTTGCCAAACTTCGCTTGGTTTACGTGATGAACCTTTTGGAATTCCCCGGAATTTTTATTTTATTTTAATATAATTAGGAAAGCGTCTTCATAATCAATCACATTGTTTCAAATACATCGCAGAATTACATTTCGTTTTCATACTAATTTATTTCGTTGTTTTCTTCATAAAGTTCACTAGGTCAGGGGTCATCAATTTTATTTCGTTTTCAAACTAATTTTTGGAAGTAGAAAGAGGATGGGTGCCGAGTTTTTGCATGTGTCGGCCTCTCTAAGTACCGAACTAGCATGGGTCGATTTCCTAATTGCGAACGCGTCGCGGTTATTTCATTTTAGGAATTAGTTGGAGGAGTGGTTGGAAGTTTTAATGGGAGGAAGAGTGAGAGAAGGGGTCGGGTCACTTGGACTATGGCATCGTGGCCCGGCACTATCTGAGGTTTTCTTTGCTAGGAAATTTGTTTCCATCTTTCAAGTGTGAGCGGTTTTATTCATACTTATTCATACCTATTTTATTTTAAGGATTGAATGATTAAAATTACTTTTAGCTGAAGTTTGGAAGTCGATTATTTTTGCGCAAAATGTACAGTTTCACGGGTCAGAGTCAATACGGGTAAATTATTTTTTTATCATTTTTGTCAGTCGATTCAATTCAATTTTTTATTTATTTGCTACTTTTTTTTTGGCTGGCTGTTAGGAAGAGAACTATTTGCCAGAAAATCACTTGGAATTGGAAATAAGAGTGGGTCTCCGGTACCGAATTTTGTGACAGATTTTGTTTTTTCTATTTAGATTTTTAGTTTGGATTCAACTTTGGAGTCGAACCCATAACATCTTACCTTAGTCGAAGCAGTATCATTCTGCTATACTAAATTTACTGAGTTTAAGGTTAACGTATTATTATTTAAACCCTTTAACCTTTGTCATTTATACTCATAAATGTTCGGCAGTATTTCTTTTCAATTTTTTTTGGTTTTTTGGTTTTTTTGGTTTCATTTTAAATTTTTTGAAAATGTAAATTCGCTAAAATTTCGTTTTTTTAGTTATTTTAGCTTATATTTTGTTGTTTTTTCGGTTGTCTGTAAAATATTGGAACTGCTAAAAAATATTTTTGCTTTACATCATTTATTCGTTATTAAAATATTTTTATTATTATTATTTATTGAAATATTTTTGTTTTACATTATTTTTTCGTCGCAATTAGTTAATTTCTTTTCCTTTAACTTTATTCGAGTGTAATATAAGATTATGATTTCGTAATAAATAGATGTGCCTTGGGTTCCTGGTCAGGATTTGAGTGATGATCTTTGGGAAAAGTTAAATATTGAATCAGCTTTGCATTTGCACTTTGGTCGTTTTAAGACCCTTGTCAAGATGAATCTTTGTACCACTATTAATATTATATTGTGTATTAATTTCATTTCACTATTTTATGTCATTGTTTATCATGCCATATAAACTATTGTATTATTATTTCCATAAGTAATTAAGAATTAGATAGGGCCTCACTGTTTCTTGTTGGACTCATCCTATGGCTAAAAAATTTTTGGCGAGAAATCACTTGGCTATAGATGTGCAGATGGATCATAAGAATCTTGAAAATTCCCTCTTAAACTCATAGTCTTAGAGATTCCTGCTGTGCATGTACTTTGTTCAGCATTACTGAGAGATTAAGACTCTGAAATTGACCATATAATGTTTCACTATGGTACTGTTCGCAAAGAGCAGAACATATGTGGAACACATTAGAAATGAAGCTATTAAACAAAATGCACTTCAAATCTTAATGAATATTGAATATTTTAAGTCAGTATTTAAAATTTGAAACATAATTCGTCTCATTTTTATTTTACATGTTATTGTGGTTTAATTTTTTAAATTTTTATATGAAACCGTCTAATTTTAACTGGTATTTACAGGTTCATTATTTAGTTATTTCCAAAATTTAAAAAGTTTGATTTTTCAATAATTTTGATCTAAAGAAATTAAAAGATAAGATTTTTTTTACAGAAATTATAGTTCACCATACGCAACACCACCAGTAACCGCAGCAGCTGTTTACAATCCAATTCAAACTCAACAAACACAGCAAAATCTTGGTGCAGTTGGTGCTTCGAATCCAACGAATGTTTATACTAGGTTTTTCCAAATCATATTTTTCAAACTTAAAAAGTTTTTGTGAAAGTTATGCGGTTGAAATTAAAAAATTTGTAAATTTATACTTATTTTATGCTTATAAATTTTCATCTTAATGGATGTATTTAAAGGTTTTAATTAAATAAGGTTCAACAATGTAAATTATTTCAGTTTTTCAAATCCAGCTGCAGCTGTTGCGGCAACACCATCAGCGTCACATTATACTCAGTATGCTAACCCTAGTGCAGCCGCTGCTTATACGCAATATGGGCAGACAGCTGCAGCAGTTGCCGCTGTTCAACAGCAACAACAGCAACAAGTTCAACAGGCATACTTATAAATGCTAAAAAATTTATTAGACATTTTCTTTCAGTTTTCGAACTTTCTTATGCAAAATTCATTTTTTTTTTCAGAAATTGTTTGAATCTTTTTATTTAATTTTTATTTCATCTTTCTTAGATCATTTTTATCTTAGTTTATTTGAATTTGTTTCTTTTTTTCCTTCCTAACAGAAATTGTACTTTCTTTGCAGAAACTGGGTTTTTCTGGTGCAACAGTTGCGGCACCGACGGCATCTGCATATACTGCTTACACCAGTCCTAGTGCTGCTGCAGCTTTGGCTGCACAGTATGGGCAAACAGTAGCTGCTGTTGCGGCTGTTCAACAGCAACATCAGGTAAACTTTCGTTAAAAATTGATGTAATTGAATAAATACGTGGTTTCTTAAATTTTGAATTAAATTCTTAAATTTTGAGTGGGAGTAGTCAAAAAAGATTGATAATCGGTTTCATTGATAAGCGCTTGGCATATTGGGTGATACTTGAAAAATAAATCCTTTTAATTAAAAAATTTCCTACATTCCACCATTTGTTTTTTTATCTGAGCTCCAGATAAGGAATGTTCAGCTTCAAGCTGCTGCTTCTGGAGTTGCTTCAGCTGGATTTGGTCATACGTCAACAACTCGCATCACAGATTCCTACAGCACTATTAGTTCATTACAATCAAGTGGTACATATACACCATTAAGTGGTTTGTTTTTTTCCTTACATTACATTAATATTGTCTAATATTTGAATATATTTGAACCTTTTCATTCAGAATATACTAGTTCGTTGAACAGACCTACCACTGTAAATCCAGTTACGAATACTAATTCTTTTGTTGGAGTTACTCGAATCGGTGGAACTAGCTCGGCTAATATCGCTGCAAATACATCGTCAGTTACAACTGGAACAAGCAGTGCTGGTTTTTTTTCATTCATTCAATATATTTTTTTCAGAATATAATTTTTCATTTTGAAGAAATTTTCGTTAAATGCAATTTCAGTATCAACTTATACGAGTTATGATGCTGCGGTATATGCAGCTGCGAATAATTATTTACAGTCCAAAGCTCAGGGAACTGCAAATATTTGGATGAGTTCAGGTAAGAAAACGGGAACATTTGGTGGAGCGAATTCATCGAATATTTCTATTTCGGGATCAAATCGTGGACAATCTATTCGAGGTTACTTTTTAAGTTTTCCAGTTAAGTTTTCCAGTCAATTAATTCCTCAAAGAATTGAATAAAAATAGTGAATAGTGAAAATAAAAATGGAAAGAACAACGATACTATTATTGAATTGAGATTGTAATTTTTTTTTTAAGGTGTAAATAGCCTTAAGATTTTTTTTAATTAGACTTTTATCCAGCAAGATTATTGTATGGCTCTGTTAGTTCGAATTTTTTGTACTGAAAGAATTGTATAAGGCAAAACATTTATCCTATAAAATACACTTGCGTTGGTTCAGTTATTGTATCTGGTAGTAGAAATTCAAGTCGAAGTAATGATTAACATATTTTAATTTGGCGAATAAATTCTTGTAAGTAGAAATTCTGTTTTAATTTTGCTAACTCTTAATAATTTACTGTTATATTGATTCAGTTTCGATTTATAGATAAATTTTTCATCAAACTTTCAGAAGTATTTTTTTTTATTTTTGATGACATTTAAATCCATTTAAAAATTTAAGATGCAAATAATGTGGAATAAGAGTATGAACTTTCACTTTTCTCCTGATATATAATATAGAAAATGTTTCATAATTTTGTAGGACGGAGCACGTTTCCTTTTAAACGTATTGGTGGCCCTGGGCAAAATCGAAACACAAGCGATAATCAGCAACATTACTGCGATGTTTGTAAAATAAGTTGTGCAAGCGCCCAAGTAAGTGAACTAAGCCATTAAAAAGTAAGATTTAAAAAGCAAAATGTAAATATTCTTATTGAGGTTTTCTTAAAATTCTTCTTTTATCACACAATCTCGGTTTCTTGAAAAAAAGGCTTATTTTTATGGCATTTTATTTCAGACATACAAAGAACATATTGAAGGCCAAAAACACAAGAAAAAAGAAGCTCTACAAAAAGGAGAAGGAATGACACTCTCCAAATCTCGCGTTTCTTTCCGTTGTGAAACGTGCAATGTGACCTGCACCGGTAAAGATACATATGAATCACACGTACGTGGAGTGAAGCATCAGAAGGTATGAGGTCTTCAAATTTTTTAATTTAATATGATTACACCCCAATAAAAAATTTAAATCAAAAAGTTGAAATTATCAATTAATCGTGAGATATATATATATATATATAAAACGGTAAATAAAATAAATAATTCATACTGTATAATTAAATAAAATGCAACTTTGATCCGAATGATTTAAATTGAAAATGGCTAAATATGATTTAATTAGACCGCTAATCTCCTAAAAAAATTGGGGAAACCAGTGGCCGAGGTTCCTACTTTGCTTGCACCTGGTGAAAAATCGAATAGAGCTATTAATATTTCTTCTGCTGGCGCTCCAATTTCGACCGTTGGTGGTCCAGCGGTGCCAACAAAAAGAGTTTGTTATTTTTTTTTCATAATGATCTTTCGCATTAATTTATACAATCTTAAGCAATTTATTTTAGATAATTTATTTTAGATTATTAAAAAGATTTATCATACGGGTAGCCTAAAACATATATCTTGACATACTTTTTGCCATATCCTCAAAACTTATTTTCTTTTAATACATTTGGATTTCTACTAAACCACTTATTAATAATTTCCTCCTCCCATTTTTAGTTATATTTCCTGTAAATCCTCAGTCGATGGTGCCTTATAATTTAGTCGATGGTGCCTTATAATTTTTGACTTGGCAGTTTAGCTGCAACAGATCACTGCAAGATTTCATAGCGCGTTAAGGAAATATAATGGGATTTGGCGGTGTAAAGAGGGTACAAATCGGTCTTAAGATGATATTATTGATTAATGATGGTAAAAAGGTCAGAGCTTATGGCGTTATTAGGAAGATAATGGGGATCGGTAAGGATTTTCTTAAAATTCGGCCGATTTTGAAATATATGGATGAATTTTTCTTCTGATAACCCACACATACATTTTAAAATAGCAAATTATCTTACGTATTTAATTTTTTTTCATAAAGGTTGTTGGTCTACCGACTATGAATTTCATTGGTAGTCAAAAATTACAAAGTAATGTCGATTCTGTTAATGATGATTCGAGTGAAATAACTTTTGAAAGCATGGATAAAAATAACGCTGCGTTAGAAGTTTGTATAAACTTTTTATTAAAATGTTTCAAGATTACAATTTTTTTTGTTAAATCCTGATATCTTTTTTGTTGTGAGGATAGAAATTAATAAAAGAGTAATGTGATAATAGGAAACATTTAGGCAGCTTTGGCAGCAGAAAGAGACGTTCAACCTGTCGGTGAGGATTATGTTGAAGAAGAACGAAATGCGGCTGGTAAACTAGTGCAGTACAATTGTAAATTATGTGATTGCAAATTTAGCGATCCCAATGCAAAAAATATTCACGTAAAAGGACGAAAGCATCGTTTGCAATACAAGGTTTGTTTTGCTACTGAAACTCAAGTCATAAGTTCTTAGATTTACGTGCCTTTGGTTTTTTTCAAATTGTAAAAATTATAGTTGAAAGTTAATCCTAACTTGGTGGTTGATGTAAAACCCAATCAGGTGCCTCGAGAAATGCGAAATGCTCTTGTGCGGAAAATGCGTTCTCGTGCTTTAACACCTCTTATGATGTATGTATTTTGGAAAATAAATTTTGTTTGAAATTTTAAGTATTTTTATTATTACCGTTTATTTTATTGCTGTTTAAATTGTTAATATTAAAATCATTTGTGTTATTGTCGACTTTAATCCATATCCGTATTGTTTTGTGTTGAGGTTGCCTTTTTTATTCTGCATATGTATACGTCGAAAATTTGTCCTGGAGTCAAAAAAATTTTCTTTCCTAATATGTGGTTTGTTTAACAAAATTTATTAGCTCATAATGTTCTGTAATAGAAAAAGACTAAAATTGACAAAAATGACTCTATACTTCAGACATTATATTTTAGATTCAAAGATAATGTATTGAAATTTATACAAATGGTTTAAAATTTTTGAAAAATCAGTTTTTTCCGTTGAAATTCATAAGGACAAAAAAAAAATATTTTTGTAATAGTTAAACAAAATATTTTTAACCTCTATTTTGGTTCTATATTAATAATATTTTTCAGGTCGAGGCCTTACCGGGTGCCACAACCTTTAATGGTTTCGCATCCGCCTGCTCGGCCATGGGTTAGTGTCATGGATATGGGTCGTCGCACGGAAACTAATGAAGATAGACATGTTATGGCGAAACACCGAATGGTTATTGGTTAAAAAAATTCATTCATAGTAATTCATTTATCCCATATTTTTTCATGTAATCTTAACATCTTCATATTTTTTAGATATATCCGGAAGATGCATTCTTAAATGCAGTCGAAAAACTTGTTAATTCTACAGAAATCACATTAAATGCTATCTCTGATTATCTTGCTAAAGAGTAAGTTTTTTGCAATTTTAATTTTAATCCATGTCCGTATTGTTTTATTTAAATAAAATAAATAAAGCAGGACTTAATGAAATGAAATAGAAATGATGAGCAACAAATATTCATGAATAAAATAGACATGCAGAATAAAACATTAAGCCTTAGAAATAGGTTTTTTTTAAAACTATAGGCTGATGGAACTAGAACAACTTATGGCAGTTTGTTCCAGTTTTTTATACTGCTAATGAAAAAATTATAGGATAGAATTGGTCGCAAGATAGATTTACATAACTTTAATCCATTGCTTCTAATATCTGAAAAATTACTCAAGTTAAAGTTACTCAAGTTATCAAGGTGGAATATCCAAGCTTCTGGCATTGAAATTCTATATTAAATCGATAAAATGATTGGTTCTCGAAATTTAATAGATGTATGATTTTCAAAATGTAAAATTATTTGAATTATTTGGTATTGGTTTATTCTTAAGAAGGAATGAAGCTGCCAATGTTGCTAAGGAGAAGGGTAAGGATAATCCAGAAGATGAAAAGCCAGTTGAAGTGAAACAAGATCGCATGTTGAAAGGCGTCATGCGCGTTGGGTTACTCGCCAAGGGCTTATTGTTAAAAACTGATCGTGAAGTAGGATTTTTATATTTATATAATCTTTTCATCCTAATAAACCGTTTTTCATTATAATTAAATCGATGCATCGTCTTTTTTTTAACGGTACTTCTTTTTATTTATTTATTTTACACTGTAATTAGCAAAAATTCACGATGATTGATTTTTGCTTCAGGTGCAGCTCGTGGTTTTATGTTCAGCGCCACCGACTGAGTCGCTTTTGTCTAAAGTTGCCGAATTATTCCCCCAGTTTATGGAGGTATATATATATTTTTTATATTTTAAATTATAACAGTGGATTTGAAGAAAAAAATATAAATTTTATCAAATTTAGATTTTTTCTAGATTTTTAGATTTAGATTTTTAGATTGTCTAGATTTTTTTCTGCTTAAGAGATTTTTATTCCTCTTACAGGCAATCAAGAAGGAAACAGTGGAAATTAAATCAAAATCTGAAGAAAGTGCTTTGCTGCTGAAGAATATCGAAGCAGATATAACATGTAGAGTTGTTCTAACCTCAGTTCGACTTAGAAATGAAGCAATAGAAACAGGTTTTTTATAGTTTTTATTGTTTAATTTTTAAACGGCTGAGTTGATTGGTAAATCATTTAATTTTTTTAACCTTATGAAAACTGTTTACAAGTTTTATTTTCATACATTCGTGGAGGCAATTTCAAGATTTAATTATGCCTTGAATTTTTTTATAATCATTGATAAATTATATATAAATTATTAAAAATTACTTTTATCCATGTAGTCTATTAGTATTATTGGATCAAATTCCTTAAACTTTGGTGACTGTTCAATAGCGTTAAAAAAATTTGCAATTTAATAAGTGTATTGGTATTTAATTTTTTTTGGTCAGATGTGGGCATAAAGTTTTCTGGCATAAAATATATTGTTTAAGGATTTTGATCTCCAACCGATTACTTCATTCATGTAAAAAACGAAAATCCCATTATCTAGCTGATTAACATTTTATCATTTTAAGAATCCACTATGACCATTAAATATTTCATTAGCCATGTTCAGTCTAAATATATTTTTCGCATATCTACAATTTCAATTGTTTATAATTTCGATTTTTCCTCCTTTGTATAATAGCGCATTCAATACCCTAACAGAGTTACCAAGTTTATTCGTGATATTCGAAGTACTTTTAAACCACAAGGTTTTGACAAAAGTAAGTTGTGACTTATTAATGCTTATTACTAATGTCATTTCTTCGAATTGACGTCTTTCTATTTCTTTTCCAAATTTTTGCAAAAAAATCTGCCGTACAATAGTTTAAGTCGCCCATGATTTGCATAATAATAAAAACGAAGTCAAATTTGCGTTTAATTCGGCGGCTTTTATTATTGTAGTGAAACTTTAAAATTCACAGTTCGATAGTGCAAGGGGTAGACCTAACGTGACTGTAAGTTTTTCCAGTCTTGTTCTTTTATTTAATATTTTAAATTTTTTGGTAACTCTGCATATAAGAACGGGGTCAGTAAAAGGTTTTTTATTTTTTATCTGATGCACTAATTAAGCCACTAAGTCGACAGAATTACTTGTTTAGATACTGTAGATGACTTTAAGATAACCATTTTAAAAATTCATAATTTTTAGTAATATACCGACGAAGAAAAAATATGAAATGACCCCGTTCTAAGGTTAAACTTTGAATATCCTAGTAGGAATTAAAACTGCAGATATAGAGAAAATCTGCAGTTCATAATTAGAGAGCGGAATGGATTGCGGATTTTCATTTCTTGTTGCAAGATGGGAAAAAATTTTTAGTTGTTTTAAATTATAATTGTGAATAATCAATTTCTAATTTGCTGTCATAAATTTTTTTAATAAATTCACCAAAATCAGATTTCAAAAACCAATTGCATGAAGGTAAGGATATTCAATGCATAAAAAAAAAAGATTGAATGCGCTATTTACTCTCAGAGAATGATGCTGCGATCCCAGTGGGTGGGAAATTGGTTCGTCCAGGCGATCTATTACCTAGGGATCCCTGCCTCGAAGCTTTGGCTGAGTCGAGACGAGCGAACTGGTATCAGGTTAGTATACCTCGTTATCATGGACAAAGAATCGAAGGCTTGAAACGCTTTCATTTTTTCAGTTATTTCAGTGAATTGAAAAGTCTAACTTTCTTCAGCGAGAATATGTTATACTTTATATGTTTTCAGCCTTCGATACTTTGTATTATGATTCGTTTGCGTTTTTTTTCAGTATTAATATTAGGTTCTGTTTTCCTAAAGTAGAGGCGCGGAATGAATGGTTCGAATGGTTGCATATTTCTCATACTTGTGCATTTTTCTTTAGAATGAGGGAGGGTCGGAATTGAAAAAATTCTTAATATTATTGCTTTAGTATTTATTAGCTTTGAATAATTGGAAAAAAAACGCCAAATGGTACAATGGTCAAAATAAAAGTTGGGCGTAGGGAGGCCCATATTTTGCATTTTATTCAGGAAAACAAAATCGGATGTTTTTAATCATTAGTTATGTAATTTGGCACAGATTTCTAAATAGGTATATCAAATGTAATCAGCTGTAATCGGACCTTATCGACGAAAATAATGAATTTGGCGGTAATTTATACGGTGAATTTCCGTTAAAAATGTTCTTTTTTTCTCATTTGACTAAATTTCTAGCAATTAGATAATTTCGTCATGGTCGGATTATAGGTGTTCTTAATCTTTGTGTACAGTGAAGTTTAATTGGTTCTTATGCAACTTTTCAACCATCATTATTTGTTGTTGTTTGAAGCGCAGGTTAATGAATGTTTTCAATAATTTGCCAGTTGTAGCTATACCAATCGACTATTTTTATTAGACTAATTGCAACGTGGAATTTTTTCTAGGTTAAATGTACGAATTTGCAATCTGCTGCAGTCACTCTTAGAATTTTGCGTGATATTCGACAACGTGTGGCATCTTGGAATGTATTAAATTCTTGGGTAATAATCTAATGAATTGTTATAGTCATTAAATGTCGAAATTTAAATTCTTTTTCCTTTTCCTTTTTCCTTTTATTTCCTTTATTAATAATAAATAATAATTTATGAATTCTAGGCTATCGAACTCTTGGTAGAAAAAGTGCTTGCGTCGTGTGGGAAACCACTTTCTCCTGGTGATGCTTTGCGACGAGTTTTTGAAGCGATTTCGTCAGGAATTCTTTTTGCAAGTAAAAATTTAACATTGGTGTTTGCTTGAAATTTTTTTTCCATTCAATTTAAGCATTCGTTTTTTTTAGCTTCTTTTTTTAAGGAGATTTATTCGCTATTTTTAAATGAAAATCCTGTTTCTGAACTTAATTTTAGATGGGCCTGGTATTATGGATCCCTGTGAGAAGGATAAACGTGATGTGTTATCGGATCTTACTGGTCAGCAGCGTGAAGATATTACGTCAAGTGCGCAACATGCTCTACGTCTTATCGCATTCAATCAGATTTATAAGATCTTGGGTATTGAACGCCTACCTGATGCTCGTACATCTTCGGGCTTTCTGAATGATCGAAAGCGTCCACGTGATCCAAGCGATCAAGATGACGGTGAGGTTATCGGTTAGTTTGAACTGTATCGTCGTTAATCTGTTGCCCACGTTGAATATAACTGAATCTTCATGGATAATTTGAGATTTCGAATTTTTTCTTTTTCTTTTTTGTCCTATTTAGTATCAAATATCTGCAAATCTTATTAGGTGATTACTGCTGTAAATAATTGTGACGAAATCTCAGTTAATTTGGATTTTTAATCGTTTGATAAAAAATATCAATCCTATCATTTTTCTTATTTAATAGATTAAATTTCAGATTTGTGAGGATTCAGTTATATTATAACTGTGTTGCTTCTCTTTCATTTAGCTTTAACCGAATCTTTTACTTGATTGAAAATTGGTTTAAGAATTCAAATTGCCACAATCTGTGGATTAGGGGTAAAAATAAGTATGTTACTCATCACTTTACCACTGATCATTTTCATCATCGTCATTTTCTGCTAGAATCCATTAGTTCTAAAATTTTTTTTGATACTTTTAAAGTTATGTTCAATATCGCATACAGCAAATTCCGCTACCGTTTTTTTTGGTAGTAATTTGCATTCTGCTCTTGTAATTTTTCGCACAGAGCCGAGTTGAAATTATCACACGTTATTAGCGAGCAATAACTTTTAATAATAATAAGGATTTTTGATATTTGAAGAAATATAGCGAAAATGATCGATTGAAATAAGTGAATATTCATGTTTGGAAAAAAATCTCACATTGCTTTCCTTTGCACTCTTGATATTTTTAATTGCATGTTCTGCATTTCTGCATTGTGGGCAACGTTTGTTATTTAATGTTGGCAATATCGGGCAGCAGAAAATTGTTTTTTTTAAAGAAATTATTTCATTATTTTTCAATGGTTCAATGGTTATCCTATTATTTTTCTTTTGTGAAAACGATTGAACCGACAACAATTTGTTTATGAAATTGTTTGAATAGCCGATTTGGCGTTTTTGGAAATTTGCCATAAATTTAGTTACTTTTAAAGTGAATAAATTTTCGAAATGAAGTGGAGAAATTAAATTTTTAAATCATGGTTGACTCTTTGATTTTATACATGATGTTTTTTTTAAGATATTGTTTTTGGCGATTATTTTCTTTTTTAAGTTTTGTAAAAAGCGCAGAAGTTCAAATAATATACTGATTTTTGAAACAAGAAGTTTTTAATTGACCATATATCTTTAAGCTATTCATGAGGGAAATTTCTCAGATTTTTGGTTTTCGAATAAGATTTAAGTTGGCTGTTTAAGAAAATTTCTGGCAAAGGGTTTGTTAGAAATGGTATTTTCAGAAACTTGAACTTAGAAATTCCACCATTCTTTAATTTCTCTTTTTTTCTACTTCTATCGAATGATTTTTTTTTCCTTTTGGAAAATATTTGTTGTACCGAAAAAAAGATTTTTATAATACAAAAACAAAAATTAATACCTATGATATTTTTAAAAATGTTCGGTTTCCCAGTGGTTCGTGGTTTGTTATAGTGATTTTGTCAGATTATGGGGCCAACAGTTCTTTTATCGACCCTTGCAACTTTTTGTTTTTTGTAGCTGTTACATTTGGATGGTTTATCTTATTCGTGCCTTTTATTTAATTTTTATTTTTTCGCTTCTTTTCGATGAATTGCATGTTTTATTTTTAAGCACATTTATTTCTATTGAATTTATACTTTTTAGTAATTTTATATGGAAAATAAACAATGAGTTGATCGTAATGATCGTGAAGCCTTTTAAAATATGAAAGTTTTTTATAGAATATTTTTATTATAAAAATATTTCAGAGGTGAAAAAAGATAAAAAGGACGATAAGATGGAGGATGATACGGAACATTGAAAGCATGCGCCAATAATAATAAAAACTGACTTGGACGGATTTACTGATGTAAATTTTTTATCAAAAGGTGTGAATGGCTGTGAATGAAAACAATGCAATTGATAGGGTTAAATCTTATAGGAACTTTTTTGATTTTTAACAAATCTTTGAGATGAATTGTCATTTATATGATTTTCAATCATTGCTGACCACCGAAATGTTTCTTTCAATCATATTAAATGTCCACGAGATTTCATTGTTTTTTTATTGTTAAATTTTGTTATTTGTTACCTCTAGAATTTTGCAAGGGAAACAGTTCTTAAGGCTTTATTTTCACTCATTGATTTTTGTTCGGTCGGCGTGTAGCTTTAGTAATAAAATTTCGGAAAATGTAATGAATTTCCAGAAAGAGATCTTGCCTAGAACTTTTCCACGTATCTTATTTTGTTGCTTTTTTTGTTCGGCCAGCGTGTGTTTCGCGATTATTCACGAATAATTGTAAATAGCTTGTTTTCTGTTTTTTATCCAAGCATTATCGACTATATTGTTAATTATCAATGAGATTAAGGAATTTATTTGGCGTACGATCCACATTGAAATAATGCCATGAATATTTTTGTAAAATTCTTGCATTCGATATCTTCCATGTAGTCTTTTCATATTGTTTTTTGTTTACTTTTATATTTGCTTATAACAAAGATCGAATTTCGTAGTCCTTCTGGCCGAGAAAAGCAATTTTGGTTTTTCGACCATTATAATAGGATAAAATAATTTTATATGAAAGAATTTCTGTAGGAAATTGCAATTATTTTTCAAATAAAATTATTTAGAAATAAAATTGACATTGAGATAATTTGCTTTAAATGAGAGAAAATGAAAATATTTATGAAAATGCACCAGTTTTGAGCACCTCTGTTTTTTTCATCTTAAAATGAAATATTTATCAACAATTGTTCAAAATTTTTTTTTGCAAGATTAGTTCCTTAATTTCTGTGTTGGTCACCTGTAATATTTCATGCATAAAGTTTGTGTTTGAATTCAACGCATTTGATTTTTGATGGTTGGGGTGGTGTTGTTTTAATGTGAGTAGAAAGTGATGCAAGTGTTTACTATAAATTATTCCTAATTTATTGATGAATTAAACGAGCGGAGTGGTGCATTACTTTGTCAGGTGACTAGGTGCGGCGGGAATCACAAGTTTTAAGTAATCGTCTTGTCATAGAGGATGATGGAAGCTGTGATGTTTTGTGGCATGGTAAGTATTACCATTTTCAAATATTGGGCGTGTGTTGGTATGCAATTTTTTGGGAATATGGCGCTGTATAGTAGATGGAAATTAGTGTGGTGCAAAAAAATAATTTATTGTGTGTGATGCAAACAATGGATTCAAAAGAATCATCTGGAGAAAGAAATATTGGGGATGGCGAAGGTCTTTCAAACTTCCCATGAACCCTCTAGGTGGTGCTACGGAAATCCATGAGTCGGCAGCGGGTCCTATTTTCAAATTTTAGACTCTTGGACTCCTAGAGTACTTACTAAATTAAGATATTCGATAATAAATTGCATAAAATAATCATTAAAAATGGTTTGTTGCCATTCTAATGAAATTATGTATAGTTTCCATGTTTCCATGAATCGTCATTTATATATTTACATTTTGCACCTCTGCGAAGAAGCCTCTTCCTAATAGCCAGTGGACCCAGTTGAACCAGAAATAATGAATAATTATAGGAGAATGTATGTTTAAAGAATATGTTTCAAAAGGTTATTTTCATCAAAATTAACGGATTCAAAATATGCATATGCATCAGCATTTTTTATAAATTTTAATTACGATAACAAGAAAGAATTTTTGTTTTTGCTTTCAATAAATTTTAATTTTCTCGTATAGAATTTATTTTGTCGATATTAGTATTGCTCATCTTCTTATTAAAAATCCAATATTCAATATTCAATATATTAATATTTATATATATATATATATAAATTCAAAAAATTCAATACATCGATACGATAAGCATTATTGCATTCATTCCTAGCCGATTTGTGAAAGTGTAATTTTTTCTATGAATATTCTCATCTGGTACCTCGAAACTTAATCCGTTTTTAAGCTTCAGCACAGTAACACTACGTTGAATAAATAAATAAAATTAAAAGGAGTGGGAGCAATTCACTATGAAATCTCGAATAATCTCTTGTTGGTTATCGTTCACGTGACTAGTTTCCATAATCTTCGATTTTTTCATAATTTTCCCGTAAATTTATCCCACTTTTTCCTGCCATTAAACGATTCTTTATGAAAACAACGGATTTTCTTTAATGCTGTGTTGTTGCTTCAAAAATAATATTTTTCAGATAAAGATAAAAGCTTCAATCCATACTATTGAGACAAACAAGTTTTATCATTGAAAATCAAGCACAGATATTCAGGTTTTTGTCGAGTTACAACAACGATGCTATTACTCAATGAATATGCATTTTTTATTTCTCTTTTTGCAAATATTTATGCAAACAAATTACTCCTCGTTCAAGTGGTACATAAATTAAAATCGTTACCCTAAATAATGAAGAAATCCGATGCTGCTAAGCTTTTATTTCAAGTTTCTTATTGTGGAATTTTCTAAATCACAAATTTATAAACGTAGAAAAGATAGAATATTATTCAATAACTGATCCGAATCTATCACAACTTGTAAATTTAGTTTTGGAGGCATGGCGATCGAACTCCCATAGGAGTATGTAAAGGAGATAAGAATCAAGAGAAGCGCTGGAATCGAGAATGGGGTCAACTAACTCCAGTTCTGTTTTATTTTATTATGAAGAACACTGTTGCAAACGATAGGAATTTTGAAATTTTGTAGGGTTTCGCATTTTCGAAGGAATTCTATAGAGTTTTTCGCTTATTTCCGCTTATTTTATTTTAGAATTGTAAACTTTAACAATAATGAGCAAAATTTTTTGTTTGATTCGCTGAAAATTCACTTCTATGAAGCACTCAAGAATCTTTAGATAGGAATGGAACAACACGTTGAACTGGGCAATTTACTTTTTAAAGAATATGTGGACAATCGGAAATTTTTAAGTCCATACTATAACCCTCGAGAAGTTCGCTGTTTTCTTTTGTAAATTTTCCGTATGGGTGACTTCATTGAATTTGGAATTTGAAATCTCTTTTTAGATATATGTTGCTTCAACAGATTGCAATCGGACAATACTGAGTGCCGTATCTAACCTCATTGGAATGTTTTATAATAAGAATAACGCTAGACCTGATATAGATTTCCCAAATATCCCTGAATGGCCAAAGAATTACGTTCCTGTACCTGTCCATACGAATGTAAGCCGTGCTTATTGCGTTCAAATTCGACTAGTTTCTAATTCCAAACTGCGAGAATTCATCAGAAATTTTTTGCTAATTTTTATTTCATTCATAGAACCTTTTTAGGGCAACTTTTGCAATGGATAAAAAATCCACATAAAATATTTTTGCGAACTGCAGGTTCGTTCTATCAGAAGCGATTGTAAGCGCAGAAAATTCCTCATCTCTTATCTTAAACAAACACCTGAATGGATAAAGTTAGAAAATGATCACAAGGCTAGTTTAACATTGTACATCGAGGTTTGTAAATGATTCATCATTTATTAGTGAGTCTGAGTTCGAATGGTGCTGGGGAGACCTATCTGTACTTCTATTTCACGCATCTCCTTGGTGAAAGGATCTGTCTTTATCAAGAGATAACCAGATCAAAGCTGGCGAAGGCTACGAATAACATTCATTATAAATACTTTCGTTATTTATCTTCCACTGCATAGAAATTAAAGTTTGGCATATTTTTGGCTAATTCGTCCAACTATGGCTTATTTTTTCTTATAATATTTTCTCATTTATTCTCTCATCCCGTTTGTTTTATAGAACCGCAGAATGTATTTCATTGATGCTTCGGCTTTTAGCAGCACTCCATATTTCTAGTCTAGTTTTCTTGCTAATGGAGGGCGAGAACTTTTCAACACAAAGAATATTCTATTTGACCTACCGCAATGCCCCAGTTTCACTTCAAAAATAAAGTTATTCTTGACAAGAGAATCGACTAATAATGATTAATTGAGAAATGATTATTAAATTCTTTGCTAAAATATAACTAAATCACAATGAACAAGAGACAAATCAGAATAGATTCATGCGAAGTTATTTTTTAGAACTTGTTTCAAAACTTATCAAAAATATGCAATGAATCAGTTGGCTCGTGGAATATAGTAAGAATAAGAGATGCTTTCGAAATCGAGGCAATTTTCCATTCATAAAAAAAATTTGTCTTAAATTTGATTTTTCATCACATGCAGGGCTTTGGGATATTGAGATTACTCAAAATCAGAATCATCTGCTCTCTCCTCACCATCTTGATGCATATCTCAAATGGATCTTCCAGGTTTTGAAGCAATGAAATATACAATATACTATGTACAATGAAATTTGGCATTTAGTGATTGAGACTTCTAAAGAATTAGTAACGAAGAATTTGGACTAATCAAATTTTTTATCTTTTTTTATTTTTATTCATTTATTTATGTTCTATTTTTCCGCACCTATGCTTTTAGAAACTATACAATCGCGAGGTTCCAGTGTCAAATGAGATTCGTCACAAAATCGCCATCGTTGCTGATCATATCGATGATCTGAAAAGCGGGCTCAGTTAGATATTTTATTTTCATTTTAGACTGTGCATATTATAGATTATATAGACTGTAGACATTTAAATATATAGATAGATTGCTATTATATTTCTTTCATCCGTGGCTCTCTACCAGTGAAATTATATTAAAGAAAAAAAGACAGGCTCCAGAAAACACCATTTCTAATTTAGCAGACCTCACTGACTGCTTGGTTAGGACTCTTCCAGAGAATCATTTAGGGATCAATATGCATATATCTCACCACGAGGACTTTACTTTAAGCGATCAGATTTATTGCTTTTTTTAATGGAAATGACTATTGGATACCAGCCATGTTTTTTTCTTAAAGTGTTGCTGGTATTTTTTAATTCTTTCCGTAAAAGGTCTGAATTTTGTAGAGGTTCAGCCTTATCAAGGAATAAATTTCTTGGAAGAACTTGGCAAATTAAGTGGAGGAATATATTTGTGGGAAGTAATTGAACGTTTTTACTTAAAGGTATTTTCAGCAATGGATTTTTGGTCCTTCATTATGATGAATTATACTATTTCGATCTTATTTCGATCTTAGTATAATAATTTATGTTAGGAGAAGCTTCTTGCATGATCGGAAAAGAATGCTGCCGCAGCCAAAGGCTTCGAAATTCTAAAAACACAACACATTTTGAAACTCCGATAACTCCGATACTCCGATATCTAAAAAAATTTCTTCTGATATTTTAAAGATTTCCGCTTAAATTGCGGCAGACGCTATTGTTTTTTATTAATAATATCGTCCTATTCTTTCTTACATTTTTTACATTCCAAATAACCAAATCAATCCTAAATAAAATCCATTTTAGTTGCACTGCCTAACGCAAAAAGTCGAGAAAAATAAATGCGAATGGATAAAAAATTTGAAATATTTTGCATATTCCACAGTAATTTTTATAGTGAAAATATTTTATTTGAATATTTCATTAAATGAAATATAACTAAAAATTATTAAGTGAAATATAAATATAAAATTGGATTAATAAACGTCATAGTTTTCTAAATTTTAAATTTCATTTTTTTTTTTTTTTAAATCAAGCATGATACAACCCTTCGCGCATTGTTATCAGTATTAGGAGCAAAAGAAAAAACGCTTGGAACGAAAAATCCAGAATATGCTGCTGCATTGCTTTTTGAATTGTGGAATACCACTTATGGACCTTCATTAAAGGTTGGTTCTTACAGCATTTTAGGATTGAATTTCGATCTATAATTGAGAGACCTATAATAAGTGGTTGACCATGGTGTGTGGTGTTTCTCATAATAATCTCATCATTTGCCCTTTCCCTTCTATCAATTATTTGTGCGCTTTTTTTTACAATCGGCATAATTTGCATAATTTACATACCAGCTATCATTTTTGTGAATAATAGAATTTTTATGTCTATTTCTATTTTTTTAAAGAGTACTCACTATTATTGGCTTGATTCCATTGCTTTTTAAAATAGCATTTCTTCGCCCGAGAATAGCATAAGGTTGGAAAAATAGGTGAATTTATTGCACCATCTAAATTTCAGTTTTAAGTTCAAAGGAAAATAGAATTTATGATTGCGCAATAAATGAAGCCATATACTACTAAACTAAAACTTTTATTTTTCTACTAACAGCAGATTTACTTGGAATATGAATTTACAACAGCAACAGTCCATTACTTATGAAATTCTAAAAAATTCCAAAAATCCTTACAGCTAGCAGCTACAGCACCAGTAATTTCCAGAATTTCCAGAAAATTGATTTGATTTGAGTTTCAGGTTCGATATCGCAGAAAAAATAAAATTTTTGATATAACAAATTATGTCGAAGGTGATTATCGTAATTTTCACTTAATTTTTTCTCATATTCTTAATTTTTATTATAAAAAATTTTGCGAAAACAATCAAAAATAAAAATCTTTTACAGGATGCGAAAATTATTTTTACACCTCCTTCTGTTCTTTTTTTGGATTTCGAGATCGATCGAAGCCTTTCTATAATGGAAATCTCAAAAAAGTTACAAAATGCTTTTTATTTAAATAAAAAACTTCATGACAAGCTTCCTTTTATATTTAATTGTTTTTAATTATTATTAAATATTTAATTATTTTGTTATTGTTAAATTAAATTGTTAAATTAAATTATTAAATTATCTGCTGATAAATTATTTAAATGAGTCCTAGGCTCCGATGCAAATTTTGACTCGATTTAGTCTATAGGCTAAACAATTTACATACGAACAAATTATAGGTGAATGTGAACAGTTTAGTTCGATCTTAGGTTTCCTCTTATTAAATTTAAATTTTTACAATATTAATTTTAAAATATTCAAGAGGTTTATAATCATTAATATTAATATTCTTTTTTCAAATTATTCTTATTCTTACCATTTATTTTTTTTAGCTTTGCGAAGATACTCAGTCGGCAATAACTTATTTTGATCCTGACAGGGAATAAATTCTTTATGCCCACCTAACCTTCCTTATGTATGTTTTATTTTCCGTTTTGTATTTTAGCTTTCTTTGCATTTATTCTTTTATTTTATATCTCATCGAATCTTTTAAAATTTACTGAATAGCCAACAAATCATATCTTTGTTGTTGTGAATAGTTCCACTAGAAAAAAATTGGAAAACTCTATTGATCCTCTTATATATATTTTTTTAGAAGGTCGGGATCATGCAAATGTGCACTTATATTAAACATTATTTTTTTCACTAGAAATTATTCAGAATTTATCCGAAAAATAAAAATGATAAATGAAAAATGATAAATGAATAAAATTGTTTGTTACAATTTTTGCAAAATGTTCAAAGATTCAATATTTGCATATGGAAGAAAAAATTAAATTCATTCTCTTATCCCCTCTTGGACTGTATTAGAAATAAATTTTCCTGAGAATTTATCGTCAACATCCCTGGCATAGATTCTAGATCCAAGGAAATCTGCTGCACCATGGCTATTGTCAGATTAATGATTGAATCCATCGTTCGTAAACAAATACTTGTCGCAGACAGTTTAGCAAAGCTTTTTGCATGTTCCACGAAGAAAGTTAATACCTATCATTGACTTCTAACAATTACGATTAATATTACGATTATTGATAATCTGTTCAAGTGGTTCGAATTTTATCTATAAGATCGAAACCAAGCAATATGCATATTACTAACTTCGCTTCGCATTAGAAAATTTTCGTGTACGATATTATTTGTTGCTATGCATTAAAATATTAATATAGAAAAAATTTTTTAAGAAATTTCAGTGAATTAGTTTAATTTCACCTCGGGATGTTGTTGGCGACGGTATTTCCTACTCTCGCAGCTTGAGAAAACGGTGCATTGGAAAAGATTAGATAATTATATTAGTGGTTTTTGCATTATCTGAGCAATATTTAATGAGAGATTTGAATCGCTTGCTGAGTTGCAACCTTTCGCTAAAAAAATCACATTGCTAGCAGCAAAATTTATTCGAATTAAGTAAGCCATTTTCAGAATTTAATTGAAAAGTTGTCGTGAAATTTGCAAGCAAACAGTTGGATTAAGGATATAAAGTTGACGGGAAATACCATTGAAATTGAGTTATTCTACAATCAAGATTTTTTCAAATAAATAACGAATAGAACATTTTCAAACGCACCCAATAGAGCGAAACAGCACTCAGCATTTCTGATTTAACCAGCTTCATTGACTGCGCTTAGAATTAAGCGCTTTGTCAAAGAGTCACTTCAGAATAAAAGTAAATGTCGATCTTCAGCAGCACTGAGGCTTCCATTT